AAAGGAGAATTTGTCGTAGAAACAGTCAGTCTTGTACTTTTTGTAATAATAATAATAATAATAATGATAAAGGTAATGTTCCCGTTCTAATTAATTAAACAGTGCACCATCAAGACGTATGGGATAGTGGAGGTATAGCTCCAACATTATTCACTTTGGTGCTAGATGTAGGTGAATAGTCATGTTCACGCCCCGGCCGCTTTACCCCCGAGGGAAGTCGGCCCCAGTATTCAGTGGTGGGCTTCAAAAGGGTTGGAGTAGAGAAAAATCTTGCCCTACCGGAAATCGAACCTGGGTCATCCAGCCCGTCGCTATACCGACCGACCTATCCCAACCCATAATAATAATTCAATTCATTTCAATTCATGTTTATTTACGTGCAATAACTTAACAGTACAGTGGCCAATTACAAAGTTAGCACGAGTATATAAGGCACAGAAAATAATTAAAACAAAATACAAATATGACAAATAAATCTGTGAGCATAAATCTAAAGAAGACTTAAATATATACATACATTTATGAATTATTACGAATGTTGCTAGTACTGTTGATAATTAAATACTAAGATAAGACACCTGTGAGTGATAGCATAAAATTAATAACAAGTCAATAAATTAAAACCAATTACATAAGAAAATTAAAGTTAGCCGAGGTATACACATTTGTAGTTAATGAAAACAGTAATCCAGTANAATAATAATAATAATAATAATAATAATAATAATAATAATAATAATAATAATAATAATAATGAGATTCGACCTGATTTCATTCACGAAGTAGATTACTGTCATTTTTGTAAATCCCGCTACGAAACAAAACTCAAGAGGCAGATGGGCCGAAGAGAGATGAAGTGACGGGAGGTTGGAGATAACTGCATAATGAGGAGCTTCATAATTTGTACTCTTCCCCATGTATAATTAGAATTATCAAGTCAAGGAGGATGAGATGGGCAAGGCACGTAGCACGAATGGGAGAAGAATGCATGTAGGATATTGGTAGGAAATCCAGAAGGAAAGACCAATAGGAAGACCAAGACGTAGGTGGGTGGACAATATTAAAATAGATCTTAGAGATAGGATGGGACGCTATGGATTGGATTGACCTGGCTCAGGATAGGGACCAGTTGAGGGCTCTTGTGAATACGGCAATGAAGCTTCGGTTCCCACAAAATGCTGGGAAGTTCTTGAGTAGCTGCAGAATTGGCGGCTCCTCAAGAAGGGCTCAGCTCCATGAAGTTAGTTTAGTTGGTTAGGTTGCTTACACGAGGAATCATGGATGAACTTTGCAACTTGAGGTTCCCTCTTCTTCAGTTATCTTAGCATTAATAACTTCTTGTAAGACAGCAGCAACTTAGTTCCCAATCTCCCATCCTCCTGTCTGCTATCCAACTTTAGTTTAGTATATTCTCCGTTAGACTTCGCCGTGTTCTGCACGCAACTCGGCAATGAAATATTTCGATACGAAGGCCGAAACATTCTTGTTATGGAATGACAGTTTAGTGTCGTGTGAAACAGTTGCCATACTAGGTCAGATCATGTAGAATTTGTGGTGAATAAAGTGGTACTGTGAAGGGTCTCCGGTTTCCCCTGCCAATTCTTATTCAACCAACTGATCAGTATTCGTTAATAGTCCCATAATCGACACTATAGAGTATTCGTACAAATAACAATATTAAATAAGCAACTTTTGGAAGTACTGCTAGTTTGTTGGTTACAGTTATTAACTTTTGTGCGTGCGAGTGTGTTTTCGACGCTGTCAGCATCGTGAGCAGTGTTTTTCAAAACTTCGGCAACTGCGGACCACTACATGGGCGGTCGGCGCATGCGCAGACCACTCAGCTCTCGTAACATTCCCCTCGGCAGTAAAGAGCTACAGTTTTGCGCTCCTTTCTGTGAATAAGCAAAAAAAAAAGGTAAAGGTATCCCTGTAACAGGCCGTGGAGGCCCATAGGTCTGTGAGACGTCGAGGCCTCAACATTTTCTAAAAAGTATGGTCACAGATGGCGGTGAGGTTGTCAGCCTTACGCGCCGGCCTGCTGTCCTTTACCCCCTTGAAGATTCCTGGTACTCAAGCTGAGTCGACCCCACGGCCATAGTGTGGCTGGAAGGGTTAGATCAATTGGAAAAATCCAACGACCCCATCAGGAACTGAACCCGTGACCTTCCGGCTTGTAGCACAATGCCTAAACCAGCTACGGTACCGCGTTTCTGCGAATTAGAGAAACATTATATTTGAAGTCGCCATAAACCGCCTTTTCCTTTCCACAAGTTTAAAGTAATTGCTTAAATGATTCATCACATTTTTTAATTTAAATTGTTTTATTTGTTGCATATCATATAATACGCACTCGTTGGTGTCTCCACCTTATCGTGGTGAGGGGGTTTGAGTATGCCAAGGACCCTGAGAGCTATACCAGCGGTAGCGTAGCTACTGGCAGGGCCTTCCTTGCTGGACAGGTCAAAGGGTAGACATCAGACGAAGAGAGACACCAAAAACCAAAAAATGATGCCGGAAGCAGCGTCATCAGCAGCGACTTGAAGCACAGAGCAAATGATGCTCGAGATGGTTCAAGTTCGTATAGCAACAGGCGTGACCAGAGTGGTTTGAACGGCTGTTGTACTGCGATGTGGAAAGCAAATGGAAAGCTACCACATATTACTTTCCAAAAACAGAGATACCATGTATGCGAGATGTTTCCTCTGGAGACAAAACAAACCGGAGGGGCGGATAGAAGTGACCAGAAGACGAGGAAAAGGACGTAAGAAGATGCTGGATGACTTTGGGGGCAGAAGAGGATACTGTCAATTGAAGGAGAAAGCTGTAGATCGCATTAAGTGGAGGAACTGTTTGGAAGAGACTGTGGACCTGTCGTCTGACAGATTACTGATGAGTGAATGAATCATATAATACTATAGGGACTGTATAATACTGCGGACCATCTGGTCACCAGCCACAGACCACCGGTAGTCCGCGGACGACAGTTTTAGAAACACTGATCTGACCTATATGGCGTCGGAATGATCAGTGGAGGTCCTAGCCAGGATTCGAATTGAGTGCTCTCTGAATACAAGCAATAAGTTTTGCCTGTAGACCAACCTGCTCGACAGAATTAGTCACGTGTTTGTGTATGCGACTACGAGTACAGACGGGGTTTGGATTGGTGAACGGATTTATTGACCACTTATACACACGACTGCGAAATACAAATAATTGCAGCGCCACCACTAATCTCCATAATTCACAAGTAACCACAGCACCCGCTAAGCCTTTTCGAACCTGCTGTGTCTTCACTAGCCGTTCTCTGGCAACGGCTTCTAACCGTGGAGATTCTTCAACTTCATGTGTTCAAATCTTCTCTTCACCGACTGCCGTGCTGAACAGACAAGCTCTAGCCTTGTCCCTTGCTTATAAATATTTCGTCACTGACCACGCAGAAACACTCCGTTTCCATTGGTGAAGTTCAACTGTTGCATTGTTAAGAATCTGCAGCGTAGGAACGGGAACACGTATACCGAGCCGTTGCATAGCAGCGGCTGCTGCGCTATTTCCTTGAAATACCCCCTCAATTATCCTCACGAGGCTGACTGGACCCCGTTCCAGTCCAACTACTTCTCAGAAAATCTGGTAGCGTCAGAAATCGAACCAGGACCTCTAGATCTGTAGGCAGGAAATCTGACCACTAGACCACAGAGGCGATCATTTACTTTGCGTCATCATCATCATCATCATCATCATCAATCTGTCAGACGACAGGTCCACAGTCTCTTCCAAAACAATTCCTCCACTTAATGCGATCTACAGCTTTCTCCTTCAAGTGACAGCATTCTCTTCTGTCCCCAAGGTCATCCAGCATCTTCTTACGTCTTCTTCCTCGTCTTCTTGTCACTTCTATCCGCCCCTCTATCTTTCCTTCGATAACTTCTTTTAGAAGGCAGTTACCGCGTAAGATATGACCAATCCAATCAGCCTTCCGTTTTCTTATTTCGTGTAGGATATTCCTCTGCTCACTGACTCTAAATAACACTTCTTCATTTCTCACATAATCGGTCCAAGTGATCTTCTCCATCCTTCTCCAACACCACATTTCGAAACTTTCCAGCTGTTTCTGATCTACGGCCCTAAGTGTCCATGTTTCAACCCCCATACAGAGCTATGCTCCAAATGTAGCATTTCACTAGTTTCTTCCTCAAATTTAAGTCCAATTTGCTGGTAAAAAGATTCTTCTTCTTGCTAAATGCATCTTTTGCCATGGCAATCCTGGATTTAATTTCACTAGTACACCTTCCATCATGTTATACTTTGCGTAGTCATCGAAAAAGAATTCCAGGGTTATAAGGAACTGTCACTCAAAAACTGTTGAGCATGTTTTAAGTGTTAAGTTGCTAAGAAATATCAGGAGTTTTCGCCTTAACTTAGTACTGTATGTTTCGATGTGTGCTCCGTTTGTCTTTCGGCAGATGTCGAGACAACCGCTGAATGGTATCTGGAGTTACCGTTACAGTGGCTGCTGCGATCTTATCCCGGAGGTGCAGAATCTTATCAGCATGCACCATGCTCTTCACATGTCCCCACAAAAATAGCATATCGGAGTAAGGTCTGGACTTCTGGGAGGCCAGAGTATTGGTCCATCTCTCTCAATCCAGACGTTGCGCACAAGTTGTATCTAGTAATAACCGATAAGGCGTCTCAACCTCGCTCGCTATCCACCATCAACTGAAAACAACCAAAACTGAGATCAATTCGCAGCATTTTAAAACTAAAACCGTTTCGATTTGTTTAACAGTTTTTGAATGATAGGTTTTTATAATCCCAACATTCTTTTTTCGACGACCCTTTATTAATTATACATTCCTATAAAATTCACAGCTTATTCGAGTCAAAATTAACCTGGCTCTCAGAAGTGCAAACTTACGGCTGAAGTTCAGCGTGTCCACGAATGGGTTATATTTCCGCAGAGCTACAGATCGTCTTCACTTTGTTTCTCGTTTTTCCAGGTGAGGAGCTGGTGTTCAGGGACCAATGGGGTGGCATCAGTCTGCTCAGTGCTGCCAACCTCACAACACGATCGCTTATGACGAACCAGACGTTTGTAAGTAATTTCAGAATTCTGATTCTCTGGTCCATTTGTATGTCACATTAGTGCCTGTCCCGTACGCTACGTTACTCTGGCGCTGCCTCAAGATTCCTTACCTGCAAGGGTAAAAAGGTAAAGTTGTCCCTGTGCTTAACTGATTAAGCACTACACCATGAAGACTTATGGGGATGGATGTATAGACCCAATATTTCTTGACCTCGCCACTATGTGGAGGTCAGCTTCACGCCCTGGCCTCTTTACCCCCGGGGAAAGAACCCCTGGCACCCATTGGATAGGACAATGGGTGAACCCCAGAATTTTATTTCGTTAACCTTTTTTATTGTTGGTAGCCATTGACCCCTCTTTTTTATTAAGCATTAAAACACGTGGGACGGGGGCACGCGGTAGCGTAGTTGCTTGAGGCACTATGCTACAAGCCAGAAGGTGGCGGGTTCGATTCCCGATGAGGTCATTAGATTTTTCAATTGACCTAATCGATCCAGCCACACTATGGCCCTCGGGTGGACTTAGCCTCTAACAAAAATTAGTACCAAGAATCTTCCTGGGGGGTAAAGGGTGTTCGGCTGTCGCGTAAGGCTGACACTCTGACCGCTATCTGTGAAACGACTGTCTAGAAAATGTGGTGGCCTTGACGTCTCACAACCCTGCGGACCTCCAGGGCGTTACAGGGACAGCTTTACGTTTATTAAAACAGGTGGATTCTTGCCTTCAAGTAAGTGTTGAACATTTTCGGCATATGCTGTTACGTATGTTCTTAGAAACAACGAATAGAAACTAAGAACTGATTTATTTTGTTCGCTTGATATGACCTGTAGTTTTTTTAATTCTCTTAGTGGGGGGTTGAGTCCAACTTGGTCCACTCGGCACGGCGGCCAATGATTGACTTATTGTACCTGCCCCGGGTGATTATGATGATGAAGAATTTGGTGGAATGAAGATTGGCAGGGGAAGCCGAAGTACTCGGAGAAAACCAGCCCCAGCGCCATTTTGTCCACCACAAATCCCACTTGACCAGACCAGGGCTCGAACCCCGGTCTCCACGGTAGGAAGCCAGCGACTAACCGCTTGAGCTGTGGCGCGGCCATGATATGACCTGTAAGTTTGCATATGCTGCTTGGGTCGGGGTTTAAAAGGTACGCTTTTCATTTCAGCTTTTCTCTTTGTAAAGAAGAGATGTGAGTAGTGGAACTAATTAACGTATTTAAAAATTAACATGAAGATTTCTGTCTAATGGAGTGTAACGTTTTCTCCGCGGCATTAGTAAGTTCCTAGGAAGGTACGGGCTTCATGTCCCAGAAGCCATGAATCTGATTGTTCACTTAACTGGGAGCTTCGAATCTCACGCATAATTAATTTGCTGTTTCAGAAGCGGTTGAACCCAGCAAGATTTGTAATGTCACCCGATCAACGATTTATTCTCCTAGCGCACAACATAAGAAAGGTGAGACGGACTATATTAGAAACAGAATATATATGAAACAGAAATAATTTAATGAAAGAAATTATCTGTATAAAATGTATTTCTCTTTGAAGTTAGGATTGCCATGAAATGGTCTACAAAAATTACGGACACATAAATAATAAACACACGTTTCACATGAAGTTGCATGTGTGATGGATAAATAATTTATAGGCGTGTGTTGAAAAATTAGCATGTACCTTCCCTGTTATGAATTTTATCGTCACGATAAATCATGAAGTGCAGGGCTCCTGGTTACTGCAACAGGCATAATAAGGGAGAAAAAATATTATATATTATATTGTTTTTGTTATTACTATTATTGTTAGCATTGTTGTGATTATTGTTGTTAAGTTTAACTTTTAAGTGTGCGTTGGTTTAATTAGATTCAATTATTTCGTGATTCCACAACAATTTATTTTTAAAAATATTTATGTGGACTTCGCCCAACTTCCGGTTTTATCAAAAGCATTGCGTTTCAGAAACAGATTCTTCCGTCTTCAGATGAATTGGATTCAGAAACTTTGCTAGGCAACATCTGGGTTTGAGAGTAGCTGTACTGTGACCTAGCGCTATAGGTTACCATTTGTATCCCATTTATCTGAAGCCGGAAATGAAACCAACCATAGACAAGCAGTGTATATGAATAAGCAATGACATGAACAAATTCCAAAATATAGTTTCAAACAATATGCCACACATTCATTAAAATAAACGTTTTATTTAACATAACACCAAACGGGGGGCCAACATTTGAACCTACATTTCTAAAACATCTAAGCTTCCACGATAATCTTAGGATAACTGAGAAGTTCAAGATGTAACAACCTGATTTTATACCATACAATAATATACGTGATGTGCACAAGCGATAAATACCCCCCTCCCCCTTTTCAGCATACCAACACACGTCAGTTGCAGACTGCATGTGGCCAAGCATAGCATCTAACCTGAGTTTCAATACTGTATACGATTAATTTTTATGCTATTTATATATTTTTAGTTTATAATATTTCTGTTTTTCATAATTTATCTTGCTCTAGCTTTTTAATCATGATCATATTAATGAATTGTGTACTAAATCGTAGATATATGTATACCTAATATACAAATATATATTTGCTAACAACGCAGCCATCAGTTGCTAAAATACGGATCCGTGTTATAACCAATATTTCAGTGCCTGATGATCTAATTATATGGTCGAAACATGTAGCACAATTTCGTTTATATGAAACAGACAAGACATACCAACCCGTATTGTCTTTATTGGATATATTGCCGTATTACTTGTTGTGTCTACGGTCGTAATATATGCAAATAAATATTTAACATAGTTTGTCAGCCACTATATTCTCTCTCCTTGAACTGCTGTGTATGTGTGGAACTACTGTGGCTGCTACTCTCTTCTCATTGCAGTTATTTCGACATTCGTACCTGGCCCAGTATTCAGTGTATGACGTAGCAACAATGTAAGTACATGCCTGAAGAATACCACTATGTTGTTACTATGTGTAATAAGAAGCTGGTAGAAGCAGAATTAAGCCGGTCACGGTAGCCAGGCGGTCTAAGGCATGCACTGTCTTCGCTCGCTCGGAAGCCGGGATCGTGGGTTCGAATCCCACTCAGGGCATGGATGTTTAGTTTGTGTGTGTGCGTTTTTCTGTGTTTGTATACAGGTAGAGGCCTTGCGACGAGCTGATCACCCGCCCAAGGAGTCCTACCGTATGTCTAAGATGTAGAAAAACCGAAGTGAACGGAGAAGTTCATGGAGGTAGGCCTAGGCCCACTGGGGCTGTAGTGCCAAGGGAAAGAAAAAAAAAGAAGCAGAATTACTTTAAGAATGAGAACACAAATTTTAGAAACTTTGTTAGAGGAGACACGTTAGCGATACAGTTCACAGTCTGTTTCAGAAATGAAATCAGTGGTAAGAGAACACTTTGTAGATCTTGATATAGATGGGAGGACAGCAAAGATTGTTTAAGAGTTTCAAGAAAGTGGACATAACAAGCAGAATGGGTCACGTGATATTCATTTGTTTAAATGAATTCCTCAAATTATGATATATTGTAGGGGAAACCACGAGGATTCTAACAAAAACCTATATCCAAAATTTTGAAAACTTGACCCCAAACTAGTTACATGAAGCTTTAAAATTGATGATAAAGAAACGGGACTTGAGAATGTGGACTTAGTTCATATGGATCAGGACGGGATTGAGTCACAGGTTTTCATTAGAAACTTCAGTTTATGTAGAAGGCAAGGATTTCATTCACACGTTAAATTTGTGACGGGTCTCAAATACAAACCCACTTCCCATATCTCCATTGCATCCATAAAAAATCTTATCTTTTTTCGGACGTAATTCCTATATTTGTATCGCTTCCCTACAATAAAAGAAGCCTCTATACATAACTATAGATTTCATAAAATTATCATTAAATAACTGATATTTATGCATAGTAATAATATGTATGCCGATCAGAGTGGCCGCGCGGTCTAAGGCATGAACCGTCTTAGCCCGCTCAAACGTTGGGGTCGTGGGTTCGAAGCCCACTGGAGGCATGGATGTCTGTGTGCGTTTATTGTTTGTGTTGTTCTGTGTGTAGGTAGCGGCCTTGTGACGGGCTGATCCCTCGTCCAAGGAATCCTACCGGCTGTGTATAGATTAAGAAGCTGAAAAAGGGCCATGATCCAAAGGACTCCAGAGCCATAGAGAGAAAAAAATATGTCTTATACAGAATCACAGACTGGGACTATTTAACTATCTATTAGTGAGTAATATTAATCTATCAGTACCGCTTAAAACTGCCGCTCAACTAGAAGAAGAACTGATTGCTTTTACGACTGTCATTCAGGAAGCTGCATGGAACAGTACACCTGTTATCAAAACAAAACTATAAGATCGTAACTTCCCGAAAGAAATCAAAAACCTAATAGCTGAAAAGCGCAAACTCAGAAGGAAATGGCAACAATCAAGAAATCCACATGATAAAACCCTTCTCAATAGAGCCAGCCAACAATTGTCCAAGGAAATCAAAAATATAAAATAATCATCAATTAACAAGTTCTTCGCAGAACTCACTCCAGATCATAGCACTGAGTACTCACTCTGGAGAGCTACAAAATATTTAAAAAACAAATAGCTCAAGTACCACCCATAAAAATGGATGGGCTCGTAATTATTTTGAGAAAGCAAATATATTTGCACAACATCTTGAAAAAAGATTCCATCCAAATCCTGGACCGGATACATTACCAATTCTCAACTCGAATGATTATCTGGACAAGATTCCACTGGTTACCCCTAAAGAAGTTACCGAAGAAATAAGAACTAATCTTAACCCCCCCCCAAAAAAGCACCTGGATCACAGGTGAAATTCTCAAGAACATTAAAAGAAAAGGCTTGGTCATATTGACCACGCTAATCAATGCTTGCATTCGACTAAATCATGTCCCAAATGCATGGAAAACTGCTGAAGTAATAATTTGATTTGTCTCATTCTGGTCCGTCACACGATTAATTACAGAGTGGATAATGTTCAGTCCATTGTGACATACAAGTTTACGACACTTCAGTCCTCATGCACCTCACATGTTTCGATTCAAAAGAATCATTCTCAGAGGCGCACCATTACGATCAGGAAACATTGAAAAGGCTAATAAGGGTAATACACGTACGTATAATTAACATAAAAGAGGAATTCCAAATATACTACTACAACAAACACAACAAATTGATAGATGAACAGAAACAAACAAGGGAAACAAACAATCAAAACAACATGTTTCACCTTATTATACAGCACTTTAACACACTCTCTTCAGCGTCATAAACACAGGAAGAATATAATACAAGACACAGCACTATTCAAAACAGTACAAACGACGCAGCACGCACATGAACTACACTACTAATAATAAGGTAAGGCCTAACTAGACATGTTAATAAACCCAAAAGCATTATATATAACTACATAAGATAGAATAAATAAAAAATTGATATAATAATATATTTACAGAACATAGAATCAAGCGAAATAAACAACATCTCCCACCATCAGGAAGAAAACAACATAACCCAATGTCAGCTCACGATATTTTAACANGACACTTCAGTCCTCATGCACCTCACATGTTTCGATTCAAAAGAATCATTCTCAGAGGCGCACCATTACGATCAGGAAACATTGAAAAGGCTAATAAGGGTAATACACGTACGTATAATTAACATAAAAGAGGAATTCCAAATATACTACTACAACAAACACAACAAATTGATAGATGAACAGAAACAAACAAGGGAAACAAACAATCAAAACAACATGTTTCACCTTATTATACAGCACTTTAACACACTCTCTTCAGCGTCATAAACACAGGAAGAACATAATACAAGACACAGCACTATTCAAAACAGTACAAACGACGCAGCACGCACATGAACTACACTACTAATAATAAGGTAAGGCCTAACTAGACATGTTAATAAACCCAAAAGCATTATATATAACTATATAAGATAGAATAAATAAAAAATTGATATAATAATATATTTACAGAACATAGAATCAAGCGAAATAAACAACATCTCCCACCATCAGGAAGAAAACAACATAACCCAATGTCAGCTCACGATATTTTAACATAATAACTAATTTTTTACATGAAGTTTTAATACAATTTTAAATGCCTTGGGAGGCTACTGTATGGGAAAGTGAACATCATATCGCGTGCAGTGGAAAACCCCAGTCAGAATAACCATGATATACATATAAAAGAAACATCATCATACGTAAATCTACACTTCAAGAAGCGCCATTGTGAGTGCCCAAGACAACCGTGATAATAACAAAATTTATATAGTGAGCATTATTAATAGCTTAAGTNCACCTTATTATACAGCACTTTAACACACTCTCTTCAGCGTCATAAACACAGGAAGAATATAATACAAGACACAGCACTATTCAAAACAGTACAAACGACGCAGCACGCACATGAACTACACTACTAATAATAAGGTAAGGCCTAACTAGACATGTTAATAAACCCAAAAGCATTATATATAACTATATAAGATAGAATAAATAAAAAATTGATATAATAATATATTTACAGAACATAGAATCAAGCGAAATAAACAACATCTCCCACCATCAGGAAGAAAACAACATAACCCAATGTCAGCTCACGATATTTTAACATAATAACTAATTTTTTACATGAAGTTTTAATACAATTTTAAATGCCTTGGGAGGCTACTGTATGGGAAAGTGAACATCATATCGCGTGCAGTGGAAAACCCCAGTCAGAATAACCATGATATACATATAAAAGAAACATCATCATACGTAAATCTACACTTCAAGAAGCGCCATTGTGAGTGCCCAAGACAACCATGATAATAACAAAATTTATATAGTGAGCATTATTAATAGCTTAAGTGCATATTGTTAATATCTTATATGACAGTGTTTCCTGATCGTAGTGGTGCGCCTCTGAGGATAATTCTTTTGAATTGAAACATGTCAGGTGAATGAGGACTGAAGTGTTGTTAACTTGTATGTCACACTGGACTGAACATTATCCACTCTGCTGAAGTAATCATGATCCCGAAACCTGGTAAGACTCTAAGTGAAGTGGAATCATATCGACCAATTTCATTACTGCAGATTATGTCTAAGCTATTAGAGAAACTGATGCTTAAATGTCTTAAACCCATCATTGAAGAGAAACACCTAGTGCCCAACGCATCAGTTTGGTTTTAGAAATATCATTCAACAACTGACCAGGCGCATCGTATCACTGACGTCATTGATAAAACGCTTGTAAACAAAGGAGTGTGCTTTGCTGTCTTTCCTTTCCTGTGTGCTTTCTTTGCTGCTGACTGCCTCACCCCCTTCCGTGAGCTGATTATCTAGAAAATGTGGGAGCCTTCACATCTCACAACCCTATGGGCCTTCATGCCCTGTTACAGGGATAGCTTTACTTTTTATATTACCCACTCATTATGAGCTATGGATCGGCTAAGTTGGATTTGTCAAATCAATGGAATGGCAACAAAAATCTCCAGATGTGAATCTGTCAGTTAGTACAAGGCATGTTTGGAATGGATTTGAATGGTTCGTATGCAGATACTGTGGAGTGTCTCAAGTTACTGCAACAAAGAACTAAAAGTCTTAGGCTTTTTGTATCACAAGATAACACCCGATCAACCATAGACCAGTACAAAGAATGGGCTGAAGGCGTGATCCAAGACAGCTGGGGCCTTATTCAGCATTGATTCTAATAAAAAGAAAAGCGCTTATATTATGAAGGGATGTGTGTTTTTAATGTACAGAATGGTTAATATTTTTCTTTATAATGATTCATCCAAATAGAATGAACCATTTTATATATAAACTTTGGTACTGTGCAGATTGGTTTAGCAGCAATGTACTGGACTTGTATCTCAGAGCTGCATGGTTTGAATCCTTGAACACTAGCTATCCTAACATTACACATGGTTTTCATCAGTCCCTCTAATAAATGTCAGCATATTACCTCGATTCAGTGTTGATTGGTTCCTTGCATATGCCTTCCAGCATATTATTCAACTATAATCTATCCATTCAACCCTATGCAGCCTAGCCACTGAAAGGACTGTGATGTAACCTTATCCAAAGAATGCATACTTGGTATATTCTACACAACATATGAGTTTTGTTCAAATTCATAAATTTTTTGTGACATCCAGAGTGTGAATCTTCAAGAAAGAACTCGATTTGGAAGACCTCTGAATAAACAGAGAGATTAACTGTAAACCATAGATCAGTCACAGAATCTTTTCTGGTGTGATGGTCATGCTACTGTAGTTCACAGTGTTGCTGTTGTTACTTTTAACAGACTGGCATAATATAAAGTACATAAGATGTACAGCTTTTCCAATTCACTTGCGGCTGCGAATTCTTGATAGGCTAAGCCCATTTTCAGTGTCGTTAATTTCTCAGGGACACTTTCCCGCTTACACCAACCCCAGAAGAAGAGGGTCATCCATTTCTACTGCATGCAGACTGGGCACCTCGAGGTCACTCCCTTGTCATGGTATACAACTATGACATCTATTATATTCTCAGCCCTAGACAGGGCCAGTCCTACAGGGTGACCAACACCGCTGTGCCTGGGATTGTCAGCAATGGTGTCACTGACTGGCTATATGAAGGTGACTATCTCATGTAAAAGGAATTATATATAAACTAAGGGATTTAAGTGTAGCATCTTCTGGTGCATGATACCGTGTCTTATGGTGGAAGCTCAGTAACGTTTCAGAGGAATACAGTTCAAAGATCAAAGAGCAAGCCAAGCAAGTGACCAGCAAACATAAACAGGAAACAGATCAAGCCACACATGGAAAACCTAGTACAGATAAAGAGAAGTATAGGAGTCAGAAAGGAACAAGTAAGAGGAAGGGGAACAGTGACTAGGGTTGGTCTGAAAAGGGCCATACACTTGGTCGTCAACTTAAGACCGACTTCTGTTCTGACTGACAGGTTGTATGTTGGCCATATATTTATTAACCGTAATTTTTTACCTTTCTAATCTTTTTATCATCTTTTATTCTTCATTTTTTTTTTTAGTTGTAAGTGCGGCCAGTTGTAAGTCAACGACCAAGTGTATTTGGAAAATTGTAGAGTTAGGAGACAGGAGAAAGGTAGCATGAGTGACCAGTGTGAGGTATGGGTGGGTTTGTAGAGTAAGTTGGAGCTAATATAGAGAAATTCCAGTGAAAGGAAAACTGATGAAAGACAGAAGATGCTGCAGAAATAACAGTAAGGATTTCCTTGAAAAGGGCAATACCTTTGTCCATGGTATCACATCTCAGAAGGTAGCACTCTTCATGATCACTGCTGATGGAAATCTTTCCCCAAATGGTGTCTCCAGAGCAAAACAAAATACAACATAATTGCATCAATCATTGTATTCATAGATTCACAAAGAACAGGAACATACATGCAATTGGCACATTTCTTTAAGTAACAGCAATCACAATTTTGTAATCTATCCAAAATTATGAATAATTGCTTTCCTGCTTGAAGAGCGATAGTTTGTAAAACAGAGTGTACAACTCTAGCAGGAGTGAAATGAACATGTAATGAGCAAAAAATTCTCTGAGCTGCTCAGAAGAAGGTTAATGTGATCTAAATAAGATATATAAGGTATAGAATATACCTTATGTGTCTCATTTACAACACACAACAGGGTGCACAACATTAAGATTAATGCAATCTGATTTGTCAGTCTGTTGAAGTACCAATGCTCTGATATGTATGTGTATACAATTCCAGAAGAGGTACTCAGTAGCAACCAGGCATTATGGATGTCTGATGATGGACACCTCATGCTGTATGCTACTTTCAATGACACACCGGTTGAGGAACAACGCTTCCCGTGGTTTGCTGTGCAAGATGAAGGAAAGCTATACCCAGAGATACGCAGCTTGCGTTATCCCAAGGTAAAATGTTTATCACTGTCTGAATCATCACAGAGGGCAACTTATGCAGTGAGGTAAACATAAATTGTGTGTTTTCAGTGAGATACCAAGATGGTGATTTTGGTTTCCTGTTCTATGTTGAAAACAGAATCTAGTAATTTTCAAATGATGACATAATGATGTGTGTCACTGTCTGATGATGATAATGATGCACACTGAAATACGTTTAAGTTCCAGTATAATAAATAAAGAGTCTTACTGTTTTCCATTATCCTCACCAAACATGTTTATATAAGAGTAAAGTAAAGCTATCCCTGTACCAGGCCATGAAGGCCCATCTGGTTGTGAGACGTTGAGGGTCCCACACTATCTAGACAATTGGCTCAAAGATGGCAGTAAGGTTGTCAGCCTTACGCACCGGCTGCGCTTTACTCCCCAGGAAAATTATTTAATTCCTGGTACTCATTTCTGTTAGAGGCTGAGTAAACCCCAGGGCCTAGTGCGGCTGGAAGGATTAGGTCAACTAAAAAAATCCAGTGACCTCATCGGGACTTGAACCCGTGACCTTCCAGTGTGTAGCATAGCCCCTCAACCAACTATGCTACCGTGTGCCCCCTTCTATAAGAGTAACACCCCAAAATGTAAAGTAACACTTATTCTGATTGTTTTATTTTGGTTTTGCTTTGTCTGGCCAAGTAAATGTCAGTATAGAACAACTGACATGAAACAGAATGACATTTGTGATTTACCTATGTGATGGTCATTGATGTCAGGAAATTGTTTAGTCAGCTTAAAATTTCCTCAGAAACAAACAAGTGGGAACACTAAAGAGTAATGGCGTTTATCTGTGGTGTACATCAACCAAACTCCGCTCCCCCCAGTCTCATAAAAATAAATGTAACTAAATTCCATTATATTTCATGTCAGTTACACTTCCAAATTGGTTATGATCGCTGCTATCAATTAATAAATGACCATTTTCAATGGCAACCTTCCTGGGGTCCATCCAGCCACCTATATAATGGGTACTGTGGGCTTTTCCCCTGGGGGTAAAGCAGCTGGGACATGAAGCTGACCACTCATTTCTGTCTAGTGATGAGGTCAAGAATGATGGAGCTATACCTCCACTCCCCAATAAATCTTCATGGCATGGTGCTTAATTAATTAAACACAGGAACAATTTTACCTTAACTTATCTTCCAAACCAACTGTAGCCCAGTGAAATTGAAGGAATCATGAAGAGACCTAAGCATCAAATGCTCCACCAATCACAATCCACTGAACCGTGTCACGGTTCTTTCGGTGTAGGATCTTTGGATTTACCGTCTCTCTCTCTCTGGCAACTACGTACGCTACGACGCGGAGCCGATCCCTTTCCTATCAAGTTCTTTGCGTAACCTAGAGGTCATGTGTTTCCCCTTCCCTCTTGTCCCGACACGAGCTACGTTTACAGACNAGCATCAAATGCTCCACCAATCACAATCCACCTATTCTTTTTTTTTTCTAGTATTATTTCCATCTTATGTGAGTCAATGGACAAAAAATGTCTTACTATCTCTCTCTTTCATTTTCTTCCATTTTTCCAAGTCTTTCTTCCTTTCTTGTCATCTTTCCATACCTGCCTCCTTTGCTTGTAAACTCTTGTTCATAAATGCATATACTCGAGTATGCACCATATAGCCTACTGCAATGGCTGTTATACTCTTCTTTTGTTTCTTAGCCTGGAACACCAAACCCCTTAGTGTCATTATGGGTAGCAGACTTAGCTGATCCAAAGAACATACGCACAAGGGACCTTAAACCTCCAGTGGCACTCCAACACACCAAGTAAGTAATATCATTAGCCCATAACAAGAATACCATAGAGACAGTGACAAGTGTATTCAGACAGGCAATCAATCTATAGTACAGTTCTCAGTTTTACAGTGATGCATCGGATTGTGTAGGGTCAGTGAAAATATGCAAGTGCACAGTCACGAAAATTATATTTCCATGAGTTTCTGCTACGTGGGTGATGGGTTTCAAGAGATTTATGTCACTGTCAGGACCTCCAATACTTGAAATACATGCAAGAACTTTTTCCATTGTCTAATAGATCTAGTGGCTTGCCAAATGCTTATCGCACATCTAAATATTACATTAATAGTAATTTTAAATTTAATAAAAATTAGTTAATTTGCCACATTGTAAAACCTGTATGTAGAAGTCATGATGTTATTTTCAGTACATTCTTAATATATTTTTTTGTTAATGGGATGGGACTAAGTCCCATGTGCTGCGGCCACTTCTGGCCTATTGTACCAGCCCCAGATGATAGGTGAGGGTGATTGTGGAGAAATTGGTGGAATGAAGATTGGCAGGGGAAACCGAAGTACTCGGAGAGAACCTGCCCCAGTACCACTCTGTCCACCACAAATCCCACTTGACCAGACCCCGGGATCGAACCCAGGCCGCCATGATGGGAAGCCAGCGACTAACCGCTTGAGCTATGGTGCGGTTAATATTTCTTACTTAGTCATCTGAGATTCAGCCCTAAGATCTTCATATGTTGTATATATTTAAAGTTAAATGGATGAAGAGAAATAAATACTACGAGTATATATAAAATCACACGTTATTTGCTGTGTTGTGGATGTAATTTATGTTATATGGTTACTCTTCAATGTGAGGTTTCCTTAGAGGTCAATTATAATTGCTCTTGTAGTATGCATGCTTGAGACCTGTGTGTGCTCTCTGTAAGACACTAGTCTTACCCATGCTGTGACTCAAACTCCAACCCCTTGTCTGTCCAGCCCATAGCCAGTCACTATACTGACTGAGATATCCAGGCTCATTGTTTAAAAGATGAAAGTGTGACTAACTTCTGAACGTAGGAACACAAGTAACCTTATACATCTCCTAATTCAGTTACAGTTGTGTAATGTTAGTTCATATATAAACTAAAGCCCATGACTCAAGAGACTGTAGTTAAATGATACAGTTTTGTGAAAAAGGTGTATTATTTGTTGCAGCGAATATTACTTCACAGCTGTGACGTGGGTGAGCGTAACAGAAGTGTCAGTTATATGGATGAACAGACCACAAAACCTTTCTTTAGTCACTGTCTGCAAGAGTCCCATGTGGTTCTGTCAAGAGGTAAAGAGCCACAATTGAAATAACTGGTAACTGTAGTTGGAAGTTGTTTGTTGTTTCTGCTATGTACATATGTAGTAACGCATTTTATCAAGGCAGACATATTTTCTAGAGGTAATAACTGAAGTTATACAGTTAAGAACATTTTTGTAATTTAAATGACACGTACAATGAGACCCAAACTCACATGCATTTCTGTCCCAGAATAGTGAAACCATCTCGTTATGCCTTCCCATTAAACAGAGAATATAACAATAACAAGAAAAATTGATAATATGGAAATATCATGCAAATCTTATGATGCAAAACCTTTTCGCACTTTTTTTTGCATATTGGGGGGTGGAGTCCAGTTGGGTCCACTCGGCACGTTGGCCACTGATTGGCCTATTGTACCTGCCCCGGGTGATTATGTTGATGGAGAATTTGATGGAATGAAGATTGGCAGGGGAGACAGAAGTACTCGGAGAAAACCTGTCCCAGCGCCACTTTGTCCACCACAAATCCCACTTGCCCAGACCCGGGCTCGAACCCGGGCCGCCGCAGTGGGAAGCCAGCGACTAACCGCTTGAGCTATGGTGCGGCCTGGATGCAAGACCTTACAAATAGACATTGTAAGGGACTTAACACTGCATGACCTTGTGCATTACACCAAAAAATATACTTCATACATTATTGGCTTTCTGCATCATACAAGTTTTAAAATGTTAATTATATATGATCTACTTTAAATAACTTGAATTGTTTCTTGCATCCTGTTGTGTATTTAATTAATATTAGAGTCAATTTTACCGACCACACAACACATTTTTATTATTGTTACACTACATGTTTCGACCTCAAGAGGTCATCCTCAGGTGTACGAACACAGCTGTATAATTACACCCAATGATATTTGTCTTAAGTAGGAAGTGACTGTATAAGTGAAAGTGAAAGCACACTAGTGATCTGAATTGAAATTCGATTCGCAAATTTTAAATTTTAACTTTTGACATTTAGAATAATATTTTAACTTGTGTTTTGTGTGAGGAGTTTCATATATTATTGAGCATGGGCCTGAATAAGATACAGGATCGAATAAGTGAAAAGACAAATATCATTGCATGCAATTATACAGCTGTGTTCGTACACCTGAGGATGACCTCTTGAGGTCGAAACATGTAGTGTAATAATAAAAATAAAAATATATATTGTGTGGTCGGTAAAATTGACTCTAATATTAATTTAAATAACTTGAGTACAGATAAGTAACGCATTTACAGTTATGCAAAACCACTCTTGACACTGAACACCCTTGAAGTGACCAACTAGGACTTCAGCCTGGAGACAAAGGGCAGTCTGATAATATCACTGAGACAGTGTAGTATATTTCAGATTCTAAATCATATAAAAGCCCCAGATTAAAAATATAAAATGAACAAAAATAGGAACTAAATTTATATCGTTTGATGATAGGAAGTTATAAATGATGTTTTGTTATAGTTTCTTGATGTCTTTCTGACCCTCATTGTCCATTATTTTAACTACATCGCTAAATATTAATTAATTTTGATCTTTTGGCTTAAATGTTGCAATAAAATTACATGTTATTTATTTCATTCTCAACATTGCTATGAAGAGTGTTTTCCTGTTTGGAATCTGAGAGTCTCACAGCTGTGGCTTTGAAGAATGTATGTCTGCTTGGATGTTACACCACGCAGTCTTGTAGATGTTTACTGATGTTTTTGAGAAATTGGCTTACTTTGTGACCCCAAAGATGGAGATGGTACATTCAAAATGTTTCTAAACAACAGCTGGATGGGATGCTACCACCAATATCTTTGGTACAATAAATCATTTACAGACAGCATTTGCTGACATGAAATGTTTCCCTGTTTCTGAATTTTAATTATATTTTTCTTTCTGCTGGTTGGATTACTTTATGATGGTCTCAGTAGCTAGACTGCACATTGTTTAACGGGAGGACGACAGATAGATGATGAATTGGAGAGGTTTTTGAAAGGAACTGGTAGTACCTAGACAAGGAAATATCCTGGCATTTGCCTGGATGTGCGCAGAAAATGGACATAAAAATCACACAAAAGAGCCAGTCTCCTGGCTGAGACTCAAACCAAGCATCTTCTAAGTACAAGCCAAAAGCATTATTTCTATGCCAGCCCATTCAGTGAATTGTATGAATATGTTAATATTGACAATGTAACATATTTATTTCTTAAGAACCCATGATTGTGTATGCAGTTATGTAATTATATATTATCCTTCGCCTTCCTTGCTATAAACATTGCCATTACGTGTGAGTCTGAAAAATGTGATTTCATTTAAATGTGCCCAACTGCGGTAGCACAGTTGGTTGAGGCAATATGCTACAACCTGGAAGGTAGCAGGTTCTAATACTGATGAGGTCATTGGATTTATCAGTTGACCATATCCTTCCAGCTGCACTATAGCTCTGGGTTCGACTCAGCCTCTAACAGAAATGAGTACCAGAAATCTTCCTGGGGGTAAAGGCTAGCCAGCCAGCCAGCCAGCCAGCAAGTTAGGCTGACAACCTCACCACCATCTGTGAGCCAGTTGTCTTGAAAATTTGGGAGCCTCAACGTCTCAAAACCCCATTGGCCTCCACTGCCTGTTACAGAGATAGTCTTACCTTTTAGCTTTACCAACTGATTTAGATGATTTTGATTAATAACACTCACTTCAATTTGGGACTGCTAGCTGGCCAATTGAGTGAGATGGTTAACAGAGAGAGTACATTATTGTGTGGTTGGCAGATGAGAAATGTGAGAAGAGAAGGGATAGTTATGTTTGATTTGTGTGATTTCGCCCTATGCAAATTTCACACCAATCAAGGAATATCAACTTACATCAATTTAAGATAAATTTTACCACAGGACCTGAAGCATATACAAGTATAATTTCAGTTAGGCTCTCAAACAAAGTCTGTTTTTAAATAAACTGAAGTTAATGAAACTTAAATTGGTAATACTGCACTAATATAATGGAATTTCTTCATATCAGGTATGATCAAAGTATATCAGAGAACATGGAAGATATACTAAATATTTCATTTAGGGCCTCAGAAGAAACCAGACTTAATGATAAAATTTATTTATACTTTGCAGTGTGGGTACTGTTACTTTCAGACAAATTGATAAAGGGTCATGACTGTATTATTAGACGAAATTCGATTTCTTTCTTTACTGAAATGCACTTCCAGAGCAGTATACAGTGAAACTCCTATTTAATTTTCCTTGATTTGACGTTTTACCTCGTTTAACATTCAGTTTTAATGGACTGAATTCAGTAAACCTGGTATTACATTACTTAACCTTAAGATTTCTTCAGTTTAGTGTTCAAACACACTACTCTGCAAAGAAACCTTAAATGGGGGTTTGACTATAGTTCTGTAGCCTTAATTATATCGGGCCAGTTTAAAAAAAAATGTTTTCTATAGTGCCTGACTAGTGAAAGTTGAAACTTTAATACAAATCAGTTTTTTGTTTCAGACACAAAGAATAAGTGGGAATGGGCATGGCTGGGTGGATTCACAAGACGCGCCTCTTTTCTCGTCAGATGGCAACAATTACGTTACCATATCACCTGTACGTGATGGGCCTGCAGGCTCCTTCAGACATATAGTTTCCGTTAATATACCGAAGAAAAGAGTAGTGCCACTAACACACGGAAAATTTGAAGTGGCTAGGATACTAGCATGGGACCATTCTGAAAATTTTGTGTAAGTCTGTTTTTATGTTTTTTGTCAGTTCTTTCATATGTGCAGGTACAAGATATCAAGTTCCATAATTTTCATGCATTCTTCTCCACCTGCTGTTATTAAAGATTTGTTACTCTTTCTCCAAAGAAGGCTCCTCCAGCAGTAATAAAGGTGACTGTACTCAGGATTACTAAGTTTCTGGACCTCACACTATGCTTGTATTTGGGAGATGTTCAGTTTTAATCTCAGTTAGAACACTGGCTATCCTGAGGCTTTCCATGATTTTCTTCAGTCCTTCCAGCAAAATGCTTGAAGAGTACCATAATTATGCTACAACCACTTTGAAATACTTTCCTACATATGGTTTATGAATCATCCTATCTCCAACATTACATAGTCTCAATACTAAAATCATCGTCCAGTAAGTTACTTCGCATATTTCTTAAACATTTCATTAATATCAGCTGATCCTATAAGCAATAACTGTTTCTTCTCCTGCAGATACTATTTGGGCATACCAGAAGCACGCCCAGGGCAATTACATTTGTATCGAACACGTTCAGTGTTACCCCGGGTTGGAGTGCCCTTGAGTACTCCTCAGTGTCTCACATGCCAAGCTGAAGAACCTATCCATCACACATACCCATCATATTATGCATCTATAGGAGCAGGAAGGCCAGGGACTAGCGGTGATGAGGAAACTGACGAGTGGGGAGAAGATGTTGAAACAACGGCTGTGCCCACTCAGTCACCACTTACAAAGAGAACAGGTGAGTTCAGTGTAGTACTGAATGAATACAGTGAAAGAATATTTTTTTTTTGTATCACTGTACCATAAAATGTTAGAAATGTTGTGTGAGGTTATGACTGTGCACGTGCTGTTTGCAGGTAGTACTGTTGTTAGGTGTGTCTGCCAACAGTTCTTTCTCTGCTGTCAGGTCATCATTTTCATGGAAAATACTTATTTACATGAGCTGCTTGAAACTTCAGTTTTGTATTTTTTTTTTCAATGTTGGTTGGAATGGCTTGAAGTCCCTAGTACATAATAAAACTGAGGTTATATTTTCAGTGTGTCAAATCTTAAGCAATGATGGCAGACATTTTATAGCGTTAAAGCTTAGCGAAGTGTAATTATTTTCTGTCATTTTAATATCTTCCTAAATTTAAAACTGTCAGTTTACTACACAGCCCATCGACAATGCAACAAATTGTTCCTTCTTTCTTACACTTTCACTTTCGATACAAAAGTTTCGGCCCTAAATGGCCATCTTCAGGTGTCTTACTGTGCTAAAACTGCTATACTGCACTAATATTGTCCATTCATCGCATATGTGACTGCATGCTTCATGCTTTAAAATGTCATAATCATAGCCAATTGGTATGCGCTAAAATAGCACACACTGTAGTTCATGTAATTTAAATCAAATACAAATCTATTAAAATTTTCTTAAAATTTTGCAAAATTCTTATTATACCTCACAAGGGGCATCATCCACTTGTTTTGGTCTATAAGGTGTAATAGGAATTTTACAAAATTTTAAGAAAATTTTAATAGATTTTATTTGATTTAAATTAAGTGAAATACAGCATGTGCTACTTTAGTGCATACCAATTGACTACAATTATGACTATATTACATTTAAGCATCCTGTTGCACTATACACTTACACTTCTATATGTAATAATACAAATGCCGTCATCAATGCAACAATTTATTTGGTTGTAGTTCTTTGTCTTTTCTTCCTCTACACTACATGTTTCGGCTGCAACCGGCCATCATCAGGTGTATTTTTCACTACGTAGCTGTCACACTGCACACAATCTAAAATCTAAAACACCGGCCTGTCAGTTTTGTTTAAAATCTCGCCAACATACGCTCATCAATTTGATTTTAGAATTCTAATTTAAAATTTAAAGCTTTAAATCACGGTGATATCCCCTTTGTGTCCACATGTGTTGCAGCGGCTATTTCTTATTTTCAGCACCATTCACGTATTATTCTGTGCAGGCTCCCTGTGTGTGTGTTGCTGCTCATCTTTAATACACTACTATCTGGTGTGTTGTGTCACACACATCCCTGTGATTTAAAACTTTAAATTTTGAATTTTAAAAGTTATAAAATTTTAAATTAGAATTCTAAAGTCAAATTGATGAGCATATTTTGGTGAGATTTTAAACAAAACTGACAGGCTGGTGTTTTAGATTTTAGATTATGTGCAGTGTGACAGCTACGTAGTGAAAAATACACCTGATGATGGCCGGTTGCGGCCGAAACATGTAGTGTAGAGGAAGAAAAGACAAAGAACTACAACCAAATAAATTGTTGCATTGATGACGGCATTTGTATTATTACATATAGAAGTACAATTATGACGTTTTAAACCCTGAAGCATGCAGTCGCATATGTGACAAATGGACAATATTAGTGCAGTGTAGCAGTTATATCATAATCTTAAGATGGCATTTAGGGCTGAAACATGTTGTCTCAAAAGTAAAAATGTAAGACGGAAGGAAAAATTTGTTGCACTGTTAACGGACTGTGTAGTACATAAACAGTTTTAGATATAGTAATGCAATGGAATGCTTAAATACAGAATCTTCCTAAATTATTCCCATGAAAGTTTTAAGATGGCAGCCGAATGTGTGATTAAAATTGTGAATCCCAATAAACAGTAAATATTTTCTGAAATATGGCTTATTGAAGTCAGGTAAGACACACAGACATTCAAGTCAAAAAGAACGGAATGACTTCGTAAGGATTAATGGTATGATTTGATAATGTGATGTATCCAGTAAATACACATCTGCTACTTTGCTTGATTATCACATCTAATTGAACCCTGAATTCTAGGAAGGCAGAAACAACGGTGGGATGCAATGGACATCCTGGTGCAGCCATGTCAATACCACAATGTGGTATTTAGTCCAGGACTCAACTATTACGCACTGGAGTGTCTGGGACCTGGTGTGCCCACAGTACAGCTTTATGCTACACGGGGTACCACTCCAAAACTTCTTGCCACTTTACAAAATAACACACAACTAATAGAGAGGGCTTCCAAAATGGCACTACCCCAGGTTAAAACATTTCCTGTTCAAATATCGGGAGGCTACAATGCACAGGTTCGACTTCATCTGCCCCCAGGACTCAGGGAAGAAGAAATAACACGTTATCCGCTAGTTGTTCATGTGTACGTATATTTGCATGCTGTCTTGAGATCCTTTCAGTCTCCAAGTTAACCGAAAATGTCTTCTTTGAATTAAACGTTGAACTCCTTTCAAAATTGGACCACGTGTTTTCTAACTTTCCTATGTATTTTATTCTTGCCTTCACACCAATTAATACTGGATATTCAGTCACTGATCCTAGTGATTTACATTCTGATCTTGAGTGCTAGTGTAAGAACTGGGCTGTGATTTGGTTTAAGATTGATTCTGAAAATGTTATTACAAATTAGCATGCTCATCCATATGAATAATGTCACTAATTGCATGTAGCAGCATTGGATCTAAGGAAATAGTTATTTGTCATTAATTTCGGACTTCAAACTGCCTGAAGTCTCAGTGAGTGGACATTGCGAGACAGGTTCACCTTTCATCCTGAAGCCATCGAACACCTGTCTTCAGAGGGCCACTGCAAATGTCAGTTTTGCCATAAAACTGCACACCATCTACAAGATTTCTTTAAATTCTGAGATTACTCTATTAGTAATTGAAACCTTTGGACTCTTACAAAAGTAACCTTTGGGTCTAGAACATTACTTACAAATCCTACCTACAAAAAGGAATATATACTGTAATTTGTAAAAGAGTTTAAAAATAAGTTATGATACTTTAAATCCCAGTAGTCATGTTCTTTAGATTCACTCTGGTTGGCAAAATTGATGTTGATGAGACCCTAATCTTAACAATGAGATGCAACAAAGAACTTGAGTGCTCTCTATTGGGAAGCAAGAAGCAAAATGGGTTAAATGATGCCAAATGCAGCCATTGGAAATCAACCAACCATCCAAGACCAGGATCTTATGGAAAATTTAGGGTTAGGATTCCACAGTGACTGTTAACGCTACTCAGAGCCTGCTCTCAGATGAATGTGGATTTCTCAGTGTAGAGGCCACAAATTTCCCATGAGTACATGAATTTGAAACTGCAGAAACCAAAAGCAAACCATATGCAGATGGGAAACAGTGAATACTTTAAATCTACCAGTGGTTTATTGTATTTATAAATAAACTGAGAATAAATGTCTGGTAAAGAATCACAGTGTGATAAACAGTGAAAATAGGGCTCATTACCAAGAAAACATTGGTCACTAAACAGGTTTGTATAATGTTAACCCCTTAGACTTATATGTGGGAAGTGCTTAATTTGAATTTTGGCCGCGATATTGGGAATACTGACAGGTTTTTCGCAGTTTCCCTCATTCCATGATAGTACCTTGATTAGGTCCTGACTTCTTTCAACCAAGCCCTTTTCAATTTATCAGTCATCTGTGATCCTACCACTTGATGCCTTATAATGTAGCTACTGACAACAAGTATCCCACAAAAAGAAAGTTGGGTCACCTTAAAGCTGCCAGGGAAAGAAGTGAAAGTAAGTAGATGTATCAAACTTCAGCTTCATACATTTCTATGAAAGAGAAATGCATGTTCTGTGGTTTTATAAAGAATTGTGTTCTTCTTTGGCAGACATGTTATAGAGTAATCAAAGTTAACAAAGTACAAAACTTGCTTGGTCAACATTATGTCCTTAACTTGATCCAACTACTGTTTACATCAGCTTGTACATCATCCATTCATGTATAAGATTATATACATTTTCTTACAAACTTGGGCTTCAGTACATTAACTGTGATGAGACTCGGTTCCATGCTCTAGAATTACTGTATGTGAAGAATCAGAGTAAACTTGGAGTGGGCAGGGCAAGGACACTTCTGAATTTGTAGAACCCTTTCATTCCTAAATGAAAACATTTACCTGTCAAGTGCCATAAAAATGCTTTGTTCTATATATATATATTAAAGAAGCATATATATAATTATTCTTGGAAACTGTGGCATAATCTTTCAAGTTCGTGGTTTTAACTTGCATGCAGCAGAAAACCCCAAAATACTATGACAGCTTCTTAAGATTTGTGATTCTCATACAGTACATTAATGTAACACCATTATTTCCTTTGTGTGGTTATTGTTCTATAGGTATGGTAGCCCAGGGTCACAGATTGTCACAGAAAGGTGGAAGCTGGACTGGAGTACATACTTGGCAGGGAATCGAGACTTTATAGTGGCACAGATTGATGGAAGGGGCTCGGGGGGGCAGGGTTACCAAATGCTTCATGAAGTTTATATGAGGCTTGGCACAGTTGAAGTGGCAGATCAGCTGGAAGTTACTGAGTAAGTGTTCATGTACAAGAATCATTAAGACAATCATGAGAAATATAAAATGTTTCTGATGGTACATTAAATACAAATATAAGATTAATTAGAGTGTCCATTGTCTAAGATTTACATAACAATACATAGATTAAGAAGTTCATTTTTCACCATCACCTACCGCATATCCACTGTCAGCCACCACTGTGAGTAAGACAACTAAAAGAAAGATCCCTAGAAGCACTGAAAGATGAGGAGGACAATCATGATGATCATCACCATCGTGTTCACTATCGCCATATCAACCATTATGATTACAACATTATCACCGCCATTACTATCACAACCAATAATGATACTTACGGTATGAAGAAAACAAAGATGACTTTCAAGAAGAGAGTGACAGCCACCATCACCACACGGAACACCAGTATTATGTAGATGACTGATGGCGACTAAGAAGACAAACACATATATCAGATCAAGACGACCACAGAAACAGAGACTATGATGTTCACTGGCTGTACCTGCAAAAAGACAACACAGCAATAAAAGTAAGGCAAGCACAGTCAACATAACAAAACGATTTCCAGTATGGCCGAGTCTGCCAAGACAATCATGTTGACAAACACAGCCACAAGGATCACCACCACGAAGATAACCAATATGGATGAAGATCAACACGTTCGCCTAGGTTACCAAGGTAACCATAAGAACCACAATGATGACAACCAACACCACTGCCACCACTATCATCACCAAAGTGACTGCAATAATTAGGATAATAACCACCACCACTTTCAAGACAATCAAGAGAATCATAGGGACAACCTCAAATACCCGCAACCAACATCAACACCACCAGAAAACTTGAGTTATGTTTAGAAATATGACAGAAATCATGCAGTTGCTGATGAATATTGCAGTGCCGAGCAGGATTAGAGTATTCAAACCGCAGTTATGAAGCCATGTCACCACCAGGATTGGTAGTTTGACTGGTTTACATTTATTGTGACTTAATTTTTCAACATATTGCATGCATCATTTGTGTTCTTGATGCCTCACTTGAAACCTGTAATCCATTTCTAACATAACATTCACTTCCACACTTCTGATTTCACATTCCAGACATATAAGTATACACGTATACTAGGGAGAGTCAGTAAATAGGCTGTAAATGGATATAAAACGTAAAACATGTCATATTTGAACCTGGAAAAAACTTTTTATTTCTCAAAATATCCTCCACCAACATTGATACACTTGTCCCATGGCTTTACCAGTGTGTCAAAACCCATGACATAGAAGTCATTTATCTGTTATCTCAGCCTCTTCTGTACCCCTGTTTCAACCTCTTCATCATCAGCAAAACATTTGCCACCAGTTGTGAACTGCTTTATGTGGCAAACACTCACCACTGTAAACAGGACACTTCTTTATGAATATCCTTTGCATTGAATCCTTTTGCTCACAAAAAACACACAGCAGAATGAACATGCGCATGTGCATCTGCTACCTAGACTGTCATGAAGCTTGACTGTGCTGCTACCTAGTGATACACATAGAAAACATATTATGTCCATTACAGCTGTTTTAGCTCCATTTGTGACTTATTTACTGACTCTCCCTTGTAAGATACCTTATGATTTATGCCTTAGATATTAGTGGCCATATGGCACATAACAGACCTGTGTTATCTGCATTTTCTTATAGATATCTCCGAGACTCTCTTCACTTTGTGGACAAACGACGTGTAGCTGTTTGGGGTTGGAGCTATGGTGGCTTCATGGCAGCTATGGCACTAGCACGCGAACAAGGCGTCTTCCACTGTGGTATATCTGTAGCTCCAGTCACAACATGGAGACTATATGGTTAGTTGAAATGTAGTCTAGATACGTCACATTGTCACATTGTCACACGTATGAGTGACTGTAGATGGAGTATGGACTGGTGAATGGATTTACTGACCACTTATTCACACCACTCAGAACTACAAGTAATGGGAGTGTCATTGTTGATTTCCACACTTTACAAATCACTACATGCGAAGTCGTCTTCAGTTTTTACTAGTCATATCCTGGAGATGGATTTTAACACAGCAATTATAACAGTCTCGCTATAACTGTAGAGCATGCATAAAGTTTTCTGTTCACATCCAGACTTCCAGCTAACTCCCAGTCATCTTGGAAAACCACATTGTTGTTCGGAAATAACCTTTAAGAGGCGTGATATGGCTGTTTAGACATGGTATCCAACCTTGTTCTGGTGACAGTGTTAGTCAGCAATATATTAATAATTATTTTTTATTTAATAATACTTTCCACCATTGTTAAACAAGTGGCTACCAGATGAAACTTCACTTTAATGAGAATAGATCTATATTAGTATTATGGTGTTTGTCCCATCATTTCACTAGCAAGCTGAGACTATTCTCTTGAAGCGACATTTTTACCTCTGAAATGAATAGGTCATTCATTTATTTATTACACAACCACTGTAAATAATTTTATGTTTATATATGTTGTCACAAGCACTATCCCATTCAAACATGAGATAAATAATTGAGCTATCCATCTTCAGGCTACATTCTCTACACATCATGAGACATCAACAGATGATTTCTTTTCCTCCAGGTAATTTGGCAGATCCAGTATCAAAATAAATCAAACAACAAAAATGGGGGACTGAATTTGGACCTGGTGTTAAACTTGGTCTGACAACAAGAAAAACCATGTTGCAGTGAAAAATCAGACCAGTCCATCAGTTCAGAAATACAAATAAAATAAATTCAACCTGACAGAGTATCATATTCTAGTAATTGATGGGCTTACTTTCAAGTAAAACATGTTATATACTGAACAGGTTTATCAAGCACGAATGCTCAAACTTCTGTTCAGGAGTTGGGTTTATATCTTGGACAGGACAAAGAAGTTTTTTCATGGTTTTTTGTCAGTCCCTTCAAGCAAATTCAGGGATAATACCACAGCACCTCTTCCTTCAAATTCCTTTCCACTGCATTATTCAGCGCTCATCCTGTTATCCAACACTATATAAACCTCAATCCTGACAGCACTGTTACATAACTAATTTCCTACGTTACTTTGATGCGACATGGACCACATTGAAAATGATGCCTTCAACAATTCTGCATTGCTGTGGAACATATTTACCAAGTTATTACCTGGCAAAGAAAGGGGGATACACAGATCCACTTACTCTCCTTTGATAAGACACCGGCAACATAGAAGATGATGCATCCAACAGTTCTTCTATTGTTGTGTGTATTCGTTGCCACAAGAACGTGTTTCCTGAGCCGTTGCCTAGCATTGAAAAAAGGATACAGTTTACTGAGCCATTGCCTTGATATGATAGGAGGGATACATATACAGATACATAGACTGATGGGAAAGGTTTATGAAGTACACTGATGAGATGGGCTCAGGTGCCATGATATGCATATCAGGCTTTATAAAGATTAGTTCAGGCAATCAAAAGTTGATATGGGGGGATAGGCAGTTAGTTAGTTATTGGAGAGGGTGGGTTTCCCCATGCACTTAGACCTGTATTGGTCCATTGTGCTTCCCTCTATGATTTCTACCAGTCTCTATATCCTACCGGTACTGGTGCTTACCATCAGTCCCGCCCAGCCAGCGAGACCGGCTCTACTAGCTGAGAGGTATCTATAATGCTTCCCCCATCTACCAGAGGTATTAGAGACTGCTGTTGGCGGGAAACGTCCGTAATTTGGCTCAGTGACCTCCTTTGGAGATACGAGGTTCTTTTACGTGCCGTAAAGCTACGACACGGGACCCACGGCTTAAAGTCCCTCCCGGAGGACTTGTTCCCTGAATTTTTCCGCCCTTAAAAATTCGACGACCTCCGCCGGGTATTTGAACCCGCGTACTACGAGTCATGAGGTGGGAACGTTACCTCTAGACTACGGAGGCCACTGGGGATATGCAGTCACACAGACTGGATGAAGATCACATAAGCATAGCACTGAATATATTCAGATACAATAAAGTAATTGGTCATAACACTTTTGTTTCCTTAGATTCCGCATATGCAGAAAGATACATGGGACTGCCAAATGTGACAGGCAATTACAAAGGATATGAAGAGGCCGATGTGAATCTGCGAGTGGAACAACTACGGGATAAAATGTTCTACTTGGTCCATGGGACTGCAGATGACAATGTCCACTTTCAGCAGAGCATGACACTCGCCAAGAATCTAGCCAATAAGGGCGTCCTGTTCCGCCAACAGGTGAATGACACTGCAAGATTCTGTAAAGGAAAAGATGCCTCATTATGCTTATACATGTCCAGGGAGTAGAAAGGAGTTTAAATTATGGAATTCTTGATAGTGAAATACAGTTTAGAGTTCCCACATTTAACGAAGTCCTGTACTGAAAACACATTTCTTCTGGTGCCAATGAAGCCGAATTCATTACTTTCACTCATGTAATAAATGTTGTTTTAGTAAATAATAATCATTTAATGTAAGAAATTTTCGACCTTCCAGAACTCGTATGTATGGTGTGACTGTTGTTGAAACAGCAACCAGTATTCATGTCTTCTCTGCAGAAATTGTTACCGCATAGCTATAATCTCTGACGAATGACCCCACAAACTAAATTGCAGTTGCTTTCATACTTGACTAAGGTTCTTCTGTGTTTATTTCATATGTCATTATTTATTTCAGGAATTAAATTTACATTATTAATTGTGTAAATGGTGCAATACTTATGCAAGTAACTTATTTTATCATAATTGTAAGCCTTTACCTTACATCACTTCCTTATGCAATAGTCTTCTGCCTGGGCCCTAAACAGAAGGGAATTTTTGACATCCAATTCTGGCCATACTGTCCCAGGTCTCAGTCTTCAAATTTCTCTCTTGTAAGGAAAACTTATGAGGGCCCTGAAAAGGACTGCCTTTCCTTACAATTCCACTTCTCCTTCTGAAAACAGTACTGTATCCCTCCATAGAAAAAGAGATCCTTAGAATTTAATGTTCAACTTCTGCTTAGAAGGCCTGTTTTAGTAGCTAAAAAGGACCCAGGAGAAATGGGGTGGCATGGAGAAGCGATTCACTGCCTCCTTCCTGTTGGCCTTCCTTCCCTCCTTTGTCTGTTACTTGAGACTGTGCCCCTCATAAGCCATAAAATGCAGTGATGCTGTAGGATAGCCGTGTCAAACATGCAGCCCCCACAGCCACAAAGTGCGGCCCCTCAACTTTTAGAGCTAATTGATATTAAAATCAATATTAAAATTTTAGTAGAAATATTGTTTGTAAAGACAATTTTCCAACAGACCAGAAGACAAGAAGTCTCACGCAGACATAAATTAGCAGGCTGCAGGAAAAGTGATTCTGAGAATTGCAGAAGGGTTTGTGTAACTAACGGTTTGTAAAGTTAGTGAAGGACAAACTATTGCATTTCAGAAGGTTAATGCACTACAATCCGCCAGCCTCACCATCCCAAGTATTTCCAAGATCCCTTTTGGAGGCGTAGTAAGAATGCAAGGAGGGTGGCAACTGACAGTCAAGTGCAAGGGATTTCTACCTTCAAAACTAGCTTGCAACCCCCAGCCATTGTCTAATGGGCTGCTAGCAAACTTTCACTTTTATGACCATTGAGACAAGATACACCTTCCTACTAGTCCGGTAGTCTCTTGTACATTGTCATTCAGTTCATTTTCACACGACAGGTGCTATGTTACATTGTGATGAACGTATAAAGGTTATAATTAAATATTAAAATATCAACTATGAGTTTTCTTGTATATGTACAGTAACTTTTAAAGGGCAATGTCACTTTAAAAAAATTCAAGTAGCAAAGAAAGAACTATTGAAAGTGAGCGCCATGTGTTTCAAGGAAAATGGGAAATCGCTTATTTCTGTTGTGAAATAGAAGGTAAAATTACATGTTTGATTTGTGGGAAAAATATAAAGTTCCACTTTAGGTAATTATATTGAAATTATTCTTAAATAATAAATAGAATTAAATTTCCTTGTATCAAAATCTAATGTATATTTCTATTTTGAAGTGCAGCCCTGGACTATTATTTATAGGGCTGAGGTGGCCCTCTGTACGAGTTGAGTTTGACATGCTTGCTGTAGGATATAGCCTAATGGATGTATGATCAACAAATGATGGTTATAAATGATAATGAGGCCATAACATACACATTCTAGTGTATAGGAAAGTAGTTACAGGCTCTTCCACTAAATTATATACCTGTACATGGACTCACACCCACTGCTCCCTTAAGCCTCACTGATGACCTTCCTTGTAATCTCCTTACATAACTGAACCATATCGTAACCCCACATGCTTCAATCCTGAAGATGCAGACAACATGTTCCTGCCCCTACCAGACTGTATCACAATCCAGATGATTCTAGTGTGAATTAAAATATTTTTATTTCTTGTCTCACAAAGAAGGAATTTGGAGACTGATAGGGTTTGGAAACCATTACTCTAAAACAGGCATGTCAAACTCAACTTGTACAGAGGGCCACCTCAGCCCTATAAATAATAGTCCAGGGCTGCACTTCAAAATAGAAATATATACATTAGATTTTGATACAAGGAAATTTAATTCTATTTATTATTTAGGAATAATTTCAATATAATTACCTAAAGTCACATATCTTACAGTTTTAAAAAGCAAGAGAATGCCATTTTTGACAAGTATCAAACAAACATATACAAGAAAACTCATAGTTGATAATTTAATATTTAATTATAACCTTTATACGTTCATCACAATGTAACATAGCACCTGTCGTGTGAAAATGAACTGAATGACAATGTACAAGAGACTACCGAACTAGTAGGAAGGTGTATCTTGTCTCAATGGTCATAAAAGTGAAAGTTTGCTAGCAGCCCATTATACAATGGCTGGGGGTTGCAAGCTAGTTTTGAAGGTAGAAATCCCTTGCACTTGTCTGTCAGTTGCCACCCTCCTTGCATTCTTACTAGGCCTCCAAATGGGATTCTTGGAAATACTTGGGGTGGTGAGGCTGTGCGGATTTTAGTGCATTACCCATCTGCAATTCTCAGAATCACTTTTCCTGCAGCCTGCTAATTTATGTCTGTGTGGGACTTCTTGTCTTCTGGTCTGCTGAAAAATTGTCTTTACAAAAAATATTTCTACTAAAATTTTAATATTTATTTTAATATCAATTAGCTCTAAAAGTTGAGGGGCTGCACTGTGTGGCTATGGGGGCCGCAAGTTTGACACGGCTGCTCTAAAAGAACAGATAAATCTTATTGTGCTGTGAGTTGCTTCTATTTAAAATTTGGTAATCTGATTCTTTTTCTGTAGATATACCCTGATGAGAGCCATAGTTTAAATGGTGTGATGCGGCATCTATACCGGTCTATGGCAAATTTCCTGGAGGACTGTTTTCGCAAACAAGTTCCCCCGGACCTGAAAGCTGGACTCCGCAATGGTGGAACAAGTGGGGAGTGAACTGAAACAGTGAATATCATAAGCTTGATCATCTTTCACCACCAACTCTCGCTTCCATATATTCACCCTAGCTGGGGACTCTTTTCATGACAAATGGAAGTTATGACTAAGAACAGCTGTAGTCGTTCTGCCAAACAATGAATCCAGTCAGGTGAGGGAATATAGAAGTCACAAGAAGCAGTCACACTCATCTTACAAATTGCTCACAATAAGATGTTAATTTGGAAATGATAATTCCTTTGTTAATCTTGGAGCTGTGAATTTCTTCCTTATACTTATAGATAGTAACATTGAAGCAGGTTCCAAAGTCTCAAAATTAAATATGAGTCTCTTAGACAATTGCTTAAACTTCAAAACGGTTCAAACAACGTATCAAAACAGGATAAAAGGTGGTAAAATGAACATGACAAATGATATCACCTTATGTAACAGTATGACCTGGCAAAGCGCCGAGCTGATCTGGAACGATGGTGAAAGGATTAGATATTTCGAAGAGTTCAGGGAAGAAAACAGGCACAGTCTGCACCGTATGACAACTGAAACACAGAAATACATAATTATGAATCTGAGCAATATGGTTTCAATTGAAAATTGTTTTGGTTAGAGGAAATGTAAGATCTAAATTACGTTTCTTATTTGGCCCCAGAGTACTCTGCATCAAAATGCCATGCTTCAGAAAACAAGAAGTCTTGTTATACTGGGTATGGAAATGACTGTACATTTGAAAAAACATTACATTATAATTGATAGCTCTGTATCTCACCACAGGTATACTTCGCTTTGCTGGGTTATACATGATTCTTCTAGTATTAGCTGTTTTTACATGTTTATCTTTAACTACTTAACATAATGGAAATCTGCATCTCTGAAATAGCAACAATTTAAATGTTAAATAATGAAAACTCACTGATAAACACCGGAATAATTCAGAATCAACATTTTCTGATAAAGTTTGAGTTCTTTTTTTTTTTTTTTTTAAGTTTTCTAGGTTCTGTAAGTATGTGATGGATTTGTTTTACAACTAATTGTACACAAATATTATGTTTTTGGGCATTATCCATCATCCTATATTTATCTAAAAACACCATCCTGTTTATTTCTCAAAACATGGTGTTTCGGAGACTAGATTCTGTCTCCATCTTCAAGTGAAACCTACTCATTTGAGCCCAGTTGAATACTACCTCTATTGATTGGGACCAACTGAGTAGGTTTTACTTGAAGATGGAGAAAATATCCAAAAACATAATTTTTGTATTAATGTACCATCGTCACAAACTTTTAGAACTCATTATATCTCTGAGAAACTTTGTGGTAATATTTTAAGAGGCTGTGATACGGTTATGAACAATAACTAGTTGAATTTGTGTGTTACTGTAACAAAATATATATTAAATAAGGGAGAAAAGCAATTAACATTGGCCAGCAAAGACTCAGAATAATACGAACAACAAGTTAGCACTGAAATTTATTGACACATTGAATATGACTTGGGATGCAATGAAGGCATACTTTGTTGTTAGTCAAAATAATGCAGCATGGGTTCAGATGGCATTGTAGTAGCAGACATTTATATCTAGACAGAATTATAGGTGGATAATTATCTACAGATATGACTGTCCAATATAGGACGAGGAAATCATGGGTTACTATGGGTTATTATATTGGCCAAAACAAAACTGGTGATAATAAGTGTATGTAGAAACATGCAGATCTAGTTTTTGTTGTCAGTGAACAGGATTTTACATGAGTAGGCTGATTATGTGTTAACTTTCTTGGTGTAGAAAATGTAGTGCTGGGTGCAACAAAAGTGGTACCAGTTAAGCATATGGGATTAATACTCTTTGGATGCCAGAATTTATGAAGCAGAATGCAGGATACGTAAGTTAACTTATGCAAGTTGCAGTCAAATTTTGGGTTTCAAAATTGGTAAAAGCATGAGATATAGGTTATATAGGACAAATTATACAAGCATTATATGAATAGTGTGTAGGACACTGTCCTCTACATCCTGACTTCAATCTGCCTCAATTATGATGTGCAAATTGCATATCTTCACCTGTTCAGACCCCATCAACTGCCACTTGCGTAATTTAATGATCCTGTGAAGGGTTTTGGAAATGTCTATTCATTATGTAAATATTCTGTTAGACACACTGACCATCATCTTAGGTGTATTTAAAATACAAAGTTTCACAGGCTGGATCTGCTTCTGTCATCAGGTGTATGTAGACCAAGTGATTGAGACTTGCTCATTTCAACAGGACCAAATAAGTACAGCTCTCTACCCAATGTCCCTCTGATGTTGGAAGCAAATCCAGCTTCTTAAAAGAGGTTGTGTATTTTAAATGTGCCTAAGATAATGTCTCTTGCCTTCTGGCTTTTCCATCCATATCCTATATGGATTCCTCTTCGCCCAATTCGTGCTACATGCCCTGCCCATCTTATCTTCCTTGACTTGATCGTTCTAATTATACTTGGAGAAAAGTACAAGTTATGAAGCTCTTCATTTAGCAGTTTTCTCCAACACTGCAATAAAAAGTCAATTAAATAAGAAATATTATTAGCAGTAAATAATTACTATCCTCCTTGATATGACATGATGGACAATGTCAGCTCATTTTCAGTGCTTATACTGTATAGATCCATCCAAATTAACAGTACATAACTCCATGCTGCAGAGTTCTTCCTGAACAGTCAACTGTTATTTGTTTAATAAGGAAAAGTGCTCTCATGTAGCTCACAGGTTATCAGCAGAAAATCTTAATACTGAACTCTCTCCCACTTGTGTTCAATCCAGTTCACATCTTGAGGAACATCTATGACTAGATGCCCAAGAAAGGCTTTCAGAGCAAGTTACAAGAATATCCAAACTGTCTTCAGAATAAATTGCTCTTAACAGCTAGACAACTCACATGATCTGATAACAGACAACAGCTGCAACAAGCAAAATATTGAGAATATGGTTCCCTACATCATACCAGCAAGTGTTGTACCCCACAAGACTACAAAATGTCACAATCCACCAGTCCATCATCTGAACAATGATCACTGTGACAACCAAAAACATATAAGTGAAATACTGACTGTTATAATCAATTTGATAAAAATATTTGCCAGCGGTAACAATTAACAGTTTCTTTTTGTAGAAAGAACATACTGTCTTTTACTATTAAGGAATGTCTGTATGTACAGCAATCAAATTGTTCATTTTTATTTCAAATGGATTTGGGAATTACCTTACAGATAAAAATAAAGATGTCACTGTGCTTAATTAAACATCATGTGATGAAGATGGGTGTGGGAGCAGAAGTACAGCTCCACACCCCAAAATAGTTAGCTGCAGGGAAAGATATTCTCATGTGCCACTGGAGTCAGTCAGGGTGCTATGGAGAAAAAAAAACCTATTGCACCTACCAGGATTCAAATCATGATTCCTTGGTCATGTAGCATGCAGCCTAGATACTATACTGACCAAGCTGTCTTAGCTCTTTACAGATTCAAATCAAAAGATTTGCAATGAATTCAGTCTCATATACAGTATTTTAGCTTTGAAAATAAAAACTAGAGTAAATGAAAAAAGTAACAATGAGTGGTTAACAGTTCAGATACGTAAATATCCTGCTGACACACTATGTACAATCAGCCTGAACTATGTAGCTGAGGCACTCATAACAAATTGTGCGAAGTCCAAGTCTGATTACTTCCATTTTGTTGTTCTGGATGATGATAAATTTTATGGGAGGGACAAAGACTGAGGGTGTTTGAGAACAGCGTGCTGAGGAGAATATTTGGACTGAAGAGAAATTCAGTGACAGGAGGTTGGAGAAAACTGCATAATGAGGAGCTTCATAACTTGTACTCTTCTCCAAGTATAACTAAAATTATCCAAGGAGGATGAGCTGGGCAGGGCATGTAGCACGAATGGGGGAGAGGAGGAATGCATATAAGATACTGATGTGAAAGCCAGAAGAAAAGAGACCATTGGGAAGACCAAGACATAGGTGGGTGGACAATATTAAAATGGATCTTAGAGAGATAGGATGGGATGGTATAGATTGGACTGACCAGGCTCAGCATGGGGACCAGTGGAGGGCTCTTGTGAACATGGTAATGAACCTTTGGGTTCCATAAAATGCTGGGAAATTCTTAAATAGCTGCACAATTGGCAGCTTCTCAAGAAGGCCTCAGCTACATGAGTGAGTGAGGATGATGATAGAGCCTTGCCTTTTTGTTATTTTCTTAATTCTGGCAAATTTTTTAAATAGGATGGAGAAATAATTTTAAGAGCTTTATATATTCTGTTTTGTAAGAATACAAACATGATAAAAAATTGTCTTTTAGGACAAGTAAACCTAAAGAGAAAGACTGATTAGAAACCAGGACAGTTACTCAGCAATTAAGAACCAGATATACTGACAGGCTGTGTTGTTTTCTAAGATCTTATGCAGTATGTCATGTCCCACATACTGTCATGCAACCTGTTCTTACTTTGGCCTTGTGTACATATTGGGAAGCTTTTATTTGACTTTTTACAGGATATGATATAATTTCATGCTAAATTAAAATATCTTCTGAAAGGATAAAAACTGAAAATATGCTAACATTTAGTTTTAATAATAAATTCATTTACTAATGCTATTATTAACACTGCAAACTGTTTTGTAAGAACTTAGGATTAAACCGTCTTATTCTGTGAAGACTTAATTTGGGTACGAGCCTGACATTTTTGCATATTGTAATATGCATCAGTTCATGAATTGAAAATCATATTCTCCCATACATATAATTCTAATCTTAAAAATTCATAGCTTTTATTCCTGAAGTGCCAAAAATGCCATTTTAGATTGTCAGAGCTTCACACCTTTCTTGGGTAAATAATACTTAAAACTCCCTAAGAACTAGAAGTGAAAGGAAAAAAATCCTAGATTGTGTAGTTTAGAAAAATTTCTAACAGGTGTCACATGCTGTCAGACATAGTAACTTAGGTCAAAATTCTTCACACTTGGCACACGTAGCATTATCAAGTTATATAGCTGATTGATACTGTAAAATTATATATAATGTTGACATTGTACAACCACAGTTTATCATAATGGGTATGAAGCTCAGATTCATACTTTGAACACTATCCTGTTTTTCACAGTGCTTGCACTTAATTGTCACACCTGGCGCAGTCTTTGGGAATCTTAGTTCAGCTCTTTTTATTAAGCAGTTTGTTAGAACTATAACAATTTTCAGATTTACTTTCATATGAGTGAGAATCCGTAAATAGGTCACAAATGGATACAAAAGTAAAGCATATGACATACAAACCTGGAAAAAAACATTTATTTCTCGACATATCCTCCACCAACACTGATACACTTGTCCCATTGTTTTGCCAGTGTGTCGAAACCCATGACATAGAAGACTTTTGACTCCGCTCTTCTTGAGAGAATTTCTCAACCCAGTTTGAACCACTTTATGTGACAAACACTTCCTTCAGTATTTCCTTATGAATATCCTTTGCATTGAGTCTTTTTGCCTGCAAAAAGAT